AGAGGCGTTACTGAAGATAAATAGCTGTAGTCATGCTTGTGCCCGCCTTTCAGTGCCAGTGATGTGTGCAGGCTAGGCCGTTTGTCTACCCAAATTTCTAATCCGCCGCGTTTTTCTGATGAGTACTTGCTTTTTTGCGAAACTGCACTTTTACTGTTCTGAGATCTTTCAACCATACTTATGAAATGAACTATTCCTTCACAAGCTTTGTCAAGATTAAAGGTGCAAACTTTGGGTACAGCGTGGAATATCAGGAAGTCAGCGGTATCCGACGTTCGTGAGGTTTTAATGACGGCACACCCCGGCTCTGAAATGCGTAGACATCGAAGATGATATTATTGAAACCACAGAGCACACAGAGCACATATTCGCGCAGACTGGGTGACGCATAAGAGAAAACCAGAGCGGAGCAACAACGTGTGTGCATTGAAACTGGAACTACAGGCACAAGTCAAGTACAGGTATAGCAATAGCTCAAGGTCACTCAAAGGGATTAAAATCGGGCCACTGCTTCTAGTCTGGGGCTCGTCGGGTGTACCTGTGTAGCGGTGATACTACTGATGGGGAGGCACGGGAGTAGTATATGTTGTTCGTAGAATTTCGCTTTGCGTCTTTTGAAAAAGGCATATCTGTTGCGGAATTCGTGGAGTTACTTTGGAACATTTACTTGGCTTTGACCGAGTAATGATTAAAGTCGATGAATCTCCAGAAAAGTTCAAGAAGACGCGTTCGGGAGAAGATGGATGTCCAGCTTTTGTAAATAAGATGCAAATTAGAGTTTTGCTTCCCTGTTCAGTGGTCTCTAACCGGTTAGTTGGCATTTCCTAATGAATAACCCCGCAGCGAAGGCCTTCTTCCTTTCACCTGTAGTAGGGAAAAAGAGACATTCAAACATATTGGGTCATCCGACAAACACGCGTAAGCAGATACAGTAAATTTTCTATTGCGCTACGTGAGGAACAATTCTAAGCGAGGTTGTCCAAACTGGAATAATGATTTCGATAAGCATATGATTTGCACGAACAGTGGTTGAGGAGTAGATATTTCCTAGAATATCCGCTATCACAAACAACGCGGAATTTGTTTTTGGTTAGATACCTCAACTCGATTGCACCACTGGCGGCCGTCGGCCGCAAACAAACTGCAGTGCCAAAGTGGGCCGTATTGAGCGTGACCAAGACCTTCAGTAAAGTTTCACCCTAGCCCGTCCCCATAATTTTAACGCCATCTTCAGGCCACAGGCTCAGAGGCTTCGCTAGCTGGACCGCCGTCACACAAGGTTAACCTATACCAGAAAGGCTAAAGGAGACGAGTCAGACCACTTAGATTACTTTTTTGTTAAACATGGTCAGTAAATCCGATGTGACCCTACAAAGGCTGGGGTTACTAGAAGTTTTGTAATTTATTCAACCTCTTGAGACCAATGGTGCTGAGTTATTTGACGTAACAACCTTGAGATCAACTCCGTTTTCCCTCATCTCTAGATTCAAAGAAAAAACTGGACGTTGATCTGAAATGAACCAACACACTTGAGCAGAAGACACTGGTATCCGAGAAAGCTAACAAAATAAAGATCTTGCCGTCGCACCACAGATGCTCACCTTTAGGTCAAGATAATAATTTGTTGCTAGAATCCAGTGAAATATATTCCTGATGCCGAAGCTTTAACTTGGTAGCTCAGCTGAAAAGTTTTACTTGCTGACATGGACTAGGCACCGTAATTCTAGTATATTAGTCGACTCTGTCAGCGCGCCACGGCAGACACAACAGATTACCCACCAAGATCTCACTGTAGCTGAAGTGAAGCTCAAGGTTTCACAGACGTTGTTGGCATGAAGCAGAAAACCCCCATTGGAATATCGACCAATAGGCCAGCCATGAACGGGCGATTTCACTAAATTGCCGATTTTTCTACTACCTACTCCGAAAAGCTCATTTTGCGTATGTTCTGAGCATGTAGAGCTGATTGATGCCAGTTTCTTTCAATGCTTTTCGCTGTTCATGAAAAGTTAAGAAGTGCAACGGTAGACATAAATCACGTCAGAAGATAACAGATAGCCCTCGAATGCTATATAAGCGCATGCAGGCAAGGAAGAAGTGCCCACTCAACTGCGCACTGATGATGTCTCCTCGTATGGTGACGAAACGTTGGCAAGCCAATTGCCAAGCTCGGCGAACAGATCAACAGCCACCTGATCAACAACCAATAAACTCACCCGAGCTGCCAATATTTCAACAAATTACCAACTACTTCGGGCGTTCCACGCTCAAAACAGCCCGTCGATGGGAGACTTTCGCCTGCCGACAAGCCTCCACGCGACAACAACTCTACTTCCTCCATGAATGCCTGCGCAAACACATCCTTCCACGTAGCGTAACCTACCGACCGCCAACAAACCATCCACAAACTTGGGTAATAGCTAGACAGAATGGTAGACGAATGGTCAGACTCATGATTACAGACGCTCACAACCGCATTAGAAAATACGAGAGAATAGCCAACGAACATAGGGAAACCTGCTTGAGGACAATAGGACCAGATCTCATGGAGCAACTTAGCATGGCGGTAGAACGAAGAGTTTTATCCACTGCTAAAAACAAGAAGGCTCATCTAGATAGCAAATTCTCAAGGCCGATTAGAAATCAGGAGTGTGAAAGTAGTCACAATGAAGCCTGGATAAGGAATCTATCCAAAAGGCAACTGACGGAAGCTGAAGAAAATGTTCTCGTCAAAGGACTTAATTTCAACTTCAAAGACGCGACAAACCTGGAATATTTAGCCAGCCTAGAAGCAGCGATGAAATCTCTTGGACTCGACGAAAACGCTCAGCAGCAACTTCGTCAAACTGTCGTCCCAGCCATCGCACGCAACAAACCACTCAACGTGCTTTCCGGCAAAGAAAAAGAAGCAATGAACAAGTTGAAGAGGGATGAAAACATCGTGATTCTACCGGCAGACAAGGGACGCCTAACGGTGATCATGGACAAACCGGACTACATCAATAAAGCAAAGGCACTACTCAACGACACAACTACGTACCGCCGCTTAGAACGCGACCAAAGCAAGCAGCTAGCAAGCAAAATCAATAAGAACTTGAAGCAACTCCAAGATCTCCACAAGATTACAAAAGAGGAATATTGGAGAATGAGAGCTCGTGATTCGGCCATTCCTCGCTTCTACGGACTCCCAAAGGTACACAAAGAATCAATACCTCTCCGGCCAATTGTATCACTTCCTGGAACAGCGACCTACAATCTTTCGAAAGAACTGTGGAAAAGGCTAAAGCATCTCATCGGTGGGTCGCAATACTCAATCAACAATGCGGGACAATTTTTGGAGAAACTAAAACACGTAAGCATCGATCAGGACGAAATAATGGTTTCATTTGATGTCAGCTCACTATTCACGTCTGTAGATCTCGATTCAGCCAAGACAACTGTGGCCGAATTATTGGACAACAACGACACGCCAACTGGATCGCTGGAGAAGGAAGACCTCTGCAGATTACTCGACTTATGCCTGATCACACATTTTGAGTTCAACGGAGAATATTATGAACAACTACGAGGGACACCAATGGGATCGCCGATTTCAGGATTCATTGCAGAAGTCACAATGCAGAAATTGGAACAAATCGTGTTGCCCGATATAAATCCCAAAATATGGGTTCGTTACGTGGACGATACATTCGTGATCATCAAAAGAAGCGAACTGCAACGAGTAATCCAACTGCTAAACAACGTCTTTGACGACATCAACTTCACAACTGAAGAAGAAAACAACGGAAAACTGGCGTTCCTGGACGTCCTTGTCACCAGATTGCCGAACGGACAGCTACAAACTGAAGTCTACAGAAAGGCGACACATACGGACCAAATCCTCAGCTACCACAGCAACCATCCAAATTGCCACAAACAAAGCTGCGTTCGGACACTTTTCAAGCGGATCGAGACACACTGCAGCACAACAGAATCCAAGATCAAAGAAGAAAAGCGCCTATACAGATTGTTTCAGAAAAATGGATACCCGAGGAATTTCATCTGGAGAACACTCAGGAAGCCAAATACGATCGATGCAACAGGACAAAATGCAAGTAAGCGAGTCACACTCCCGTACATCAAGAACACCGCTGAAATGACGGCAAGGCTCTTACGACAGCACAATATATTGGTCGCTTACAAGCCTGCGAGCACTCTAAGGAGGACACTATCAAGACCAAAAGGGAAATTAGATCCAATGGCGAAGAACAATGTCATATACAGGATCCAATGCAAGGACTGCGACAAACGGTATGTAGGACAAACAGGAAGGAAGCTCTCAGCCAGAATACATGAACACAAGCTCGCCACCAAGAGGCACGATCAGTTCTCCCTCATCTCTGCACACAAAGATCAGGAAGGACACGAGTTCGACTGGAGCGGCGTCTGCATATTGGCTCAAGCAAGAACAAAAAACGAACGCGAATTTATGGAAGCACGGTACTCCACCGAAGAGGCGATCAACAAACACATCGAAATTGATCCCATTTACCAGCCACTAAGAGCGAGAGAACTCCAGAACCACCGAGCTTAAAGCTGCAAAATCAACCAGACGAGGAAATCATAAGAGAAGGAGGAAAACATCATTTAAACGGACACATCAATTGGATTGGAGGAAGCGCCCAATCAAAGCACCAAATCAGCCGACGGACGAAGGGACGCTGACCGCTACGGTGGAGGAAATAGGGCGGCACAAGCAACCAATCAAACTCAGGAACGTCAGACCACAACGCAATACAACCCGAGAGAACGAACTACTAAAAATAGAAGGCGTGAGGGTAACCAATCGACACAAAGGAACGCAGACCACAACGCAACAAAGATCACAAATCAACCAATAGATTCACCAAATTTGTTACACTTTAAGTAGCCAATCACGCCAGAAGATAACAGATAACCCTCGAATGCTATATAAGCGCATGCAGGCAAGGAAGAAGTGCCCACTCAACTGCGCACTGATGATGTCTCCTCGTATGGTGACGAAACGTTGGCAAGCCAATTGCCAAGCTCGGCGAACAGATCAACAGCCACCTGATCAACAACCAATAGACGTAAATCAATTCTGATTGAATACGGGGCTAAAAGACCGATCGTCAGTCATCTAGCTGACAAATGGATCCGAGCTGGACTCAACTCATCATTCCAGGTTTTTGGACTAAGTTCAACCTCGTCGCTCAGAAGGATAGAAGGGTAACTGTGAGCCTGCTTTAGTCATACTCTCCGGCCACGTTATTTTAGACTTACTGAAGGATATAAACCTTACGGTTTTGTTGCGAGCCAAATAAAGTGCAGGAAATGAATTCATCTTGCAACTTCTTTGGTTCAGTGTAGATTACCGGACCGACAGTTGACCACTTTTGGGCTAGTGCGATATGTGGCCCTCCTATACGTGGATCCTGGACGTGCAACCGAATTGTCTAACTGGAGCATCCGTATTAAATCCTATCTCACTTTTACAAATGATGCAGGGAATAAAGACAGTTGGTTACTACGGTGCGGAGGGCATGCGGTATGTTCCTTGTTAATTCGCCGCCACTTGGAATTAACGCAGACAGGTAAACAATTTGAAAATTCATTGAGATGTTTTCTCTAGTGTATGTATTGGGCTTTGTTCCCCTCACTCATGTAAACCGGCCATGCTGAAGAAAACCCTTGTAATATACACGAGGTACAGCTCAAAGATTTCCAACACTGTTGTGTTTATATTCAGGGCAATTTCCGGGTTATCTTGGTTCCCAGAAATGGTGCTGTTATTCAACCGCATAATGCAACATACCTTACATTTCAGATGAAAGTGGATCGAGCTTATGTGGTTAGCAGGCGTCAACTCAAATGCCTGATGTAAATAAATGTCCCGGTTTCTAAACGACACTTCTCGTGATTGTTATTTATGAAGAAATGCTTGAGCTTGTGTTTTGTGCAGATCTTGGGGACATATTGGAGACCAGGTAAACTAACGAGAAGGGTGAACAAATACCCTAAGTAGTGCATTCCAAAGATTTTTCAAATTTACGCAGCTTCGATATATGAAATGCAGTCATATGGAACGACGTTTTTGCCTTTCGGCAAAAATTGCATACGTCCAATGGGAATTTTTCTCATTTATTTAGGAACAAGTAGTTGGGCTACTCATCGAACGCCGCGAACACCACTCTCGTTTGGAGAGCCCTTCTAGCTCGTTTGGTCCACGTGAAGGAGAGAAAGTACTGAGATTGATTTGCGCTCTGACTAGAGTTCCTCAGAAATATACATAATTCGCTGTGTGGGTGCGTGTTACTAGTTGCTGCTCAGCGTGCGTTGGACATATTTAGACAATCAAACCTTACCGGGGAAGCGTGTTCATGCTTACGTCCCAAAAAGAGGCTGTATGTGTGCCGATTAAGTGAACTTTCTGTCAGGACTTCCCATTTCGGCATCCCAAACGACGCTTGAAACTAGTTGGGTCAGTTACCAATGGTTGCGGGATTGGTGGAATTTCCGTTCAAAGACGTGCTTATTTGGGCCCATCCAAAGTACGCTGACAGAGTAGTTTTAATACTTTTCTCGTGCATTTCATCGATCCGGATCTCAAGTCCAGGTAGAATCAAGAGTATGCAATGGCAATGAAAAAGCAGTAGCGCAAAATTGGACTTGAATGCTTCCATCTTTAGTGTGGACGAAGCGAATTACGACAGTACAGGGTGAATTCTGTTTAATCGAGTGATTTGGAGGAAATCGTTATATAATCTGCAGCTACCTGCAACTGATTGAGGCTCCTGTCTTATCCATACTAACAACTTTATCAGAGCCTTACAAACCTTAATGAAGTTTCCATATTGAAGATCTAACATAAAATACAGTATTCATAAGTGACCCATGATTAGACAGCAGTGAAAAAATGTTGAAAAATGAGTAGACCAGAGGGAGGAGTAATTCAAATGAGTTAATTTCTTAATTAAGCGTTCAGCACTTAGGATGCGACTTGAGCAGGTGCTTGGGGCGGACAGACGAAGGTTTGGATATTCATACAGATTAGTGAGCTGAGCAGTCCTGGTTTTCCCCAATGAAGATAAAACAGTATCACACTGATTCTCGGTTGTACGATATAGGTGAATTTCACATATAGCACGGAATTTCGATGGAAAATCCTGTCAATAAACTAGTGAATGTTGGCCAGCCAATCCGTTTACTTTTTAAGAGCTCCAGAAAATGGCATTTATGTACACCTTTCGTAACTTTTTGTCCACTAGGTTTTTATCCACTAACAAATTCCCACAGTACAAACATGGCTGAACCATCTATGCTGCAGCACAAACCAAAGTCAGAGGCTCATAATTGCCTGGTGGTTGCCGCCGTGAACCACAGTATTCTATTTAATGTGGTAGGGTTTATTATATTGGGAAGAATGTGATAGGTGGACGTATTCCATCGATGGGGTAGCCCGTAGATCATGATATTAAGACCATTCACAACGTGCACGTGGTCGGTGAAGTTGCGATTAGTTACTATGGCCTCGTTCGAGTTAATAAGAGTGGATATGTGGATCAAGACGGTTTGGTGTTAGATCATTCATGCAATGGTCCTGTTCAATTGGAAAATAAACCAAGTAAATCAAATGGTCTCTATCAGTTGTTGTATCTTCAGCCTAGTCAGGGTTACCCGAAAAGCACATGCAAAAAATCTCCTTATGTAAACGGCCAGTTAAATGTCTTCAAACTGCTGTGTCCGTAAGCATAAGCTTTAAATTCCTGGATGTGAATTTTGTTGAATTGAGCGAACTGTGAAATCAACGGTCCTTGGGCTGTGAAGGTGGTTTCCTGAAATATCAAACACTACATTGGAAACAGCAAAACTCACTTATGTAAAAAATTGATCCTTTGGCCAGTCGAGTGTCAGTAGTATCCTAAGAGTCCACGAAAATCGAGTTATAATTTTGTCTCTTGTGTAAACCTTGTCCATAGCAAGATCTCACAAATGGGAAGGGAGCAGTGATAGAAATGACACGCAAACACTAATTATAATTAATTTGATTTCCTGGAGGGTCTGACGGGATTTTATTGTAGTAAACAGGAAGTGTTTGGAAGTACTGTTGAGAAAATAATGACAAAACATTTCCAGGTTTTCCCAACGACATAAAACAGAATTCCTTTTTGCGCATATATCTTTCTATATCCAAGTTTCACTCATTTTGGAAATGATTGAATGAGAAGGTCGACTAGTAGCACGTCTGGTTTACGCGCAGACATTCTGACTACATGTACGAAAGCAAACCCTTCGTGAAGCTGTATGGAGAAATGAAGGAGATTTGTGACCAGAATCATCCTGATGAGATGGGTTCACTTAATACTTTAGATAAATGTGAACGATACAAGGGAAGCAAGCATCTCTGGTGGTAAAATGTCAGACAGCAATTTGAGCAAATGTGTGGTGGCGAGGTTTTTTCAGGGTAAGCACAAGTGGATGTTTTGGAGAGAATCAACATACCAAATGTTTGCTTACTACTTCCTACAGAAGCAAAGAACTTCAGCGGTTTTGACAGTCCGCCGAAAAACTTCACAGAAACCTGAAATTTTTCGACATCTATTGGCCTATAGCATAGTGTTGCTACGTCAAGCATAGCATAATAACGAAATCGTCTTCAAACTGATGTTGCGTACATACTATACATATGTTACGCCTCATACTGGACTTTGAGTTGGCTTACGCCTTAGCTCAGTCTGTGGTGAATACAGATCTTCTTGACACCCACCTTATGTTGGGTGTCGAAGGAAAAACTGATGATCTTTAACTGGTTTCAGAAAAATGAAAGCCCAGTTGTGTAATGGTAAGAAGAACTATTTGATTTATCGGCTTGCAAACTTTCAAGGCAGTTTAGTAATGGCTATCTCAGATTGATTTCAGAAATATGCGCGGTTGTAGAAAAACTGCAAAAAAATATTGAAGGCAAAAGATGCAAAAGTTTGCTTTGTATTGGACCTTACAAATTTAGAAGCCGCAAACAGGTGTTCAGGCTCACTCAAGTGTTACTAGTTTCTTTGTCTACGTGTAAACTTCGGCAGGAATCAGTTGAAAATGCGTGAGCAGTCATGTTTGATATATTTATTTGTAGTTCTAACTTATGAGCGAAGAAAACAAGAATTATTTTCCAAGGAGGGCGGAAGTGTTCTAAGGCTGACGGTTCAGACTGAAGGAGAAAGTCTTACGGCACGGGCTACTGTCTGATATATTGTGACGTTATTCATTCAGTAGTTTCAAAATCAACAGGACAAATTTCGTGCCGGCTGTTTGAAGTTGAGTGGTTTTGTCATCCATAATAACTAATGGTGGCTGTATGTCTGAAATAAAGGGAGGGAAATGAGTGAGGGAATTGACGATTGATCAGCATATCTGTTCACGGAAAGAGACACACACTCGCGTCGAAAATCACCAGCATTAAGTACCACGCGAAAGAAAGGTTATGCAAGTTATTGAGGGTTTACTGAAGAAGAGATTACAAGTATGGAAGTGGACGAAAATAAATTTGGGGGCTCAAATGAACCACCGACCTCCCGTTTTTCGGTGGGCGCTCCAGACTGTGACAGCGGACGATTGCTGGTCGTCATGTTAGTGCAAATGAACTTTCGCAGCTGATTGGCTACACATTCGCCTAATTGAGTAAGAGGTTATTTCTGTCAATGGCACTAGTAAGCTTCCAATGTGGCTCCCTAATACCGAAAAGACATTAGTGAAACTACTTGGAATATAGGTCTGATAAACGGTGTAACGTGAGTCTTTAAATGCACGTAGCATAAATCAAACACACACGTGTCCATCCTCACCTTGTGAAGTCGAATTGCGGCTGCATCTTAAGCCAATAGTTATGTTGTTGCCGGTGACCTTCGGATACACATTTCCCCCTGGATCAATAAAGTGGTGTATACAGGTACACGTATCGTTCGACCACATCATTTACTCTTACGCAAACGTAGTTAGCGCGACTATGAAGGAAATTAGTTTCGCTTAACTTTGAGCTCAAAATTCCAACAAAGGTTGAAAGAATAGGATGTAAGTGTGATTTCAATATTTTGTAATCATATGGAAATCCTGGTACGCAAATCCACAAATAATGCTGTTCGACCTCGTAGTAACTTGTTTAGCCGCTACGGTAGGGCGACGAAACCTGTTAGAAATCATGCAGTAAAACTGAAAGAGAAGCAAGATATTTGGTTTCCTGCAACCTGGCGAAGGATGGGGAAGGCCATTATTAACAGATACGAGCACAGAAAGACGAGTAGTATTCTTTCAGATACCTGGCAGTCTTAAATTGGTGATATTCCTGGAAGTGACCAAATAGTAGATTCCTTACTTCACAGTCATCTCACACAGGTGGAATGTCGAGATCTGAACCCCGAGCGACCTACAAACATGGTCATGCCTGTCGCTCCCGAAATACACAAACGAGAGACCCACTCATGCCTAAATATGCATAAACGATTCAACCTATTAGAAAGTTACATACTAGTTGGTGAAAAAATTTTGAAAAGAAAACTG